TACATTTACACTATTCTCCCATCGCTAGACAATGCAAATAGCTAGCCGACTCTGTCAAGAAAAATTGTTGAGATCCAGAGATTTTGTTACCATGGTAACGTGAGGTCAAACTTCCCCTCTCAAAAGAGCCACATTAAAGAATCGATGGTGCACGTTGATAAGATCTAAACGAATAGTTTGATCAGTGTAGCTTCAATGATTATATTGCAGCTATTTATTTCCACAGACCGAGACAGGGAAGCGTAAGACTGAAAAGCCATCCTGATATTGATTCTGAAGAGTTTGAATTGAGACCAATTGAACCCAGGTGCTTAAACAGTTTATGATTAAAGTAAAATAAATTTTAATTTCTTTCTTTGGCCGGGAAATGATATTTGTTCCTTGTTTGTTCAGTATGAAGGAGTACTTTTATTACAGAAATGGTTTAACATCGCCCCATGTACGTAAATCACCGAATCCGGAAGCCGGAAAAATTTTGCATGTGGAATCCTGAATCCTGGGCTTGGAATCCGGAATACAACTCAAGGACTGTAGAAGTCCTACTAAAGATTGGAATCCGGAATCCAAGTTCCAGTGACAAAGACCGGAATCCGGAATACACGGCATGGGATTCAGAATCCAAGACTGTCCTGGATTCTCTTACATGGGGCGATTAAGAACTTTAACTAACATTCTGCTTTACGTTAACTTTCTTGTAGAACCACGTCTCCTCCAAGACCAATCGCAGGTAAATAGACCTAAAATGAACACTATCTTAAACTCAAGTTCCTTTTCTTTTAATTTATATTAAATTACCTGGCTCTGGCTCCTTGGTTTTTATTTATGACGCCGACCGAAGTATTTACATTAACTCTGCTTCTGTTTAGGGCGAAGGTTTAGAAATTCTGAATCAACCCAAGACTTGCTACGACGAGGCAAATCACTTGAGCGACGAGTGTCCCTTGACTCCAATGAGAACCAGTTCATTGTGTCATTTGGAGTTGAGGACCATATGTCTGCGCATGTGAACCCAGTGCTGACCATTGGTGAGTACGGACGTCCCTCATGCTTGATAGCCTGTGGCGTTTGAAAGAGAGAGAAACGAGAGAAACCACATGCGCGCGCGAGAACGCACATTTTAAACGCCTTCTACCAAGGCTGCATTCCTGATTCATTCGCATATCTAGATCTTTTCGTTCTCCTTTGGCGTTTTGAAAAATGCAATTGAGAAAGCGTTGACTTCTGAAGTTTTAGGGTTCACCTGTGTATTTGTTACATGACATCAAAATTTTGCTAAAGTAACAGTCAAGGAGCACAAGAAATATCTAACGCCTATACTTGAAAGGCCAAACTTATTGTTTGCCATTATAGTTCTTAATTTATTTTGCTCCCTTAAGGTGATTTGCGTTCGTTTTGATCGTGCACGGTTGCTCAAAGCAATTGTTGTTTTGTTGAACTGTTTTGGAGCAGGCACACACATACGTGTTTTTATCATGCGCTGAGTTTTTAATTGCAAACTTGATTCCTCGGTTGTCTAAAGTCTTTTAGTTAGCCTACATAGCAAGGGCGGGGCTCTCGAGCTGACTCGCCTCATACTTCTTGCCGTTCCATCTACAAAACGCTGACCAATAAAACACTCGCGTGCGTCAAGTCACTCCATCTGCGCAGACCACCTTTTTATTCTAAAATTCACTGAAAACTCGTTAAAGCTCGCTTTGGTCGTTAATTATGCATGGAATATAGAACATTTCCTTTGATAGAATGAAATATAGAACATTTCCTTTGATACCATGTTCTACGATCATTTTGATTGGTCATTACTAAGTAAGTGAGTAAGTTTGTTTATGTTTATCTCAGAACTTGAATCGATTCCTCCGCCCCTTCAGCACACAGATATTGTCCTTTGTGACGATTCGTGGCAAGGATCAGAGCCACAACAAGCACTAGTATTTAACGAACAAGACTTAGATGACTTAAATGACAGCGGCATAGAAGAAGAGGCTTCCTATGGCCCCAGAAAATTTGCGAATGAAAATACGCAAAGCGGACTTAAACCCGTCCCTCTCTACGCAGTCGTTAAGAAATCGTCTGTAGACAGAAGCAATGCTAACGTTACCACTGAGGGCCAGGCAACTGAGCCGTTCTATCATATTTTGGAAGGACCCGGGAATGATTCAGAAGCATCGGAGGAGAATTGGGAAGAGCAAATCAAAACAGCACGTTTTTATCAGTCTCTGATGCAGTGTAAGCAGGATATTCCTGAAGGGAAAAATAAGACATCCAATCAAGAAAATATGCATGGTTTGACAGAAGGTCATGTCATGTCCAGGAATTCAATTTATCAGTCCCTTTCTCCCCCCAAGCGTGACGTGTCAAATGAGAAACTCGACTTGACTGAAGATGAATCAAACCGAGTAAAGAATGTTCAAAAGGAGTCTACAGGATTTTATCAACCTCTATTAAATAGAAGTGAAGGTCGATCCCGTTTACATCTACACAGTGATAGGCCCCGGTCAGTTTTAGGTGTATATCAGCCGCTGAGAAGTGATTCTGATAATATTGAACCCCTCGTCAGGTGTTTCTCTGCCCCTACACAGGAAAACCCAGGAAATGTTCATCCCATGCGCCCTAGATCTGGGAACGAGGAAGGTTTGTCAGAACCCATCTATCACACAGTAGACGATGATGATGACTCTGACCGTTGTCCACTGAATCTAGATGTACCAGGAAGTTCTTTCCCTTCTTCCGGGAGACGCACATCACAGGGGAGCCTTACAGCCCAGCAGAGAACAATCCACGAGCCATTATACATTGCAGTTCAAGTGACACCCACACGATCAAGCAGAACATTCAACAGTGAGCAGGAGCCAAGGTATAGTCCATCACCTGTCCGCAAAAACGCCGCGACTCTTACGCCAACTTCCAGAGGCCACCGGAGGAATTTTAGTGACGTTGGTCGTGCTTTCCCGATAACGGTCGGCAGTATGGGTGCTGACGGCAGAAGTCCGCCTTCTGTACATGAAGGATGCCCAACCAATCCGTTGCCACTGCGTCTCGGGCACCGTCGCAATTGGAGTGATGCAGGTCTCTGTCCAATTGATCTGAGTCAGAAGAATGCGGCAGAGCGGCCGACCTTAAGCGAAAGTAGTCTGTCAGCAACTACAATCCCTCAGGAATCAGGGGATACAAGCTCATCTGTTGGAAGACGAAGTGTAAGCCCTTTGCCTCGCCATCTCGGGCACCGTCGGATCAGGAGCGATGCCGGGTTCTGTCCCGTTAATTACAGCCAAGGAAATGTTTCGCATCGCGGCGAGACATCTGCCAACGAAACTAAAGGCTCTGGTGCTATTACTAATCCACGAACTGAGGGTACAAGCCCACCGGTCAAAAGACCTAGAGAAAGCCAGTTAGTTCGTCACATTGAACAGCACAGAAATAGAAGCGATATCGGGATCGGTACAGTGGAGCTAGGTCAAGGGAATGCATCGCGGCGAATGACTTCGATAAGCGATAGCGGGCTTCCACAAACACCGAGTCTTGGGTCCCCTGAAACTAGCGAATTTTCCAGATCTGCTACTGACGCAACACACTGTAGAGTTTATATCGGTCCATAACAGACTTAAAGTTTTCAAGCGAAAACTGGTTATATCATTATTAATGTTCAATTGAATGAACGGGTAGTTGTATATGATGAAGATTATCACAATTGTTCTTTTAAGATTTAGGGATAAAAGGGAAACCACTGGGAGGTATCTGTTGGTTTCCTTATTTCGAGTTTTGAATAATTTAGGTTATATCTCCACGATCTATAAGAGAATTTTTAGAAAAAAGAATCTGGTTGGTTTGATTCTAAAACAAGAATTAGGTTGAGAGTGCACAGGCTCGAGATTTCTGACAGAATAGTGAGCGCGTGGTAGCTAGAGAATAGTTTACCCCACATTGTTCTGTCGTTACCCTCCAGGAAAAGAGTTCATAAGCGCTTATATAAGCACTACTCAAAAATTAGTTTTGTTCATTTTTAATATTAAACTCAAAAATTTTTATGTAATTACTTTCTATTTTAATAAATATAATAAGTTTGCAATGTTATAGTAAATAGCTGTATATTGGATGATTAAAAATTGTGCTACAAATAAAAATCAACTCGGCAGCAATGTACATGTCTAAAAACTGCAACGGTGTCCATTTACCATACTATGAGCATTTCTGAACTGCTTTTTGCTATTTTTGGCTACTTTTAAGTTAAGAATCTAAACATTTTCACATTTGCTTGATGTGCATCGGCTTTATAATATGACAATATTATAGTGACTTCATATGGCATGAGAGTAAAGAATGACTTTCCGAAAACATAGCTATACAAGAATGATTTTGTAGAGCTTACTGATATGGAGGAAGCTCCATATCAGGACTATTACTGCAATAGCCACAATGTAAATACACCAGTTTGTGAATGTAAATACATTTTTACAAATACTTGGACTGACCTTTTTTGAGGAAAAAAATCCTGCAGAGAAGTGAGAAGGGAAAAAAATATCCCGCAGAGCATCGAGAAAGTAAAAAATATCCCGCACAGCAGGTTTCTAGGAAAAAAAATTCTTGCTGAACAAAAAACAACCAGCCCGTTTCTAGCCTGGGAACAGCAGACGTATTTCCGGTCGTCACTTCTCTCCCTCCGAAAAGTTATTTTTCGGAGGGAGAGAGGCGTCGACCGGACATACGTCCATACGTCTGCTGTTCTCAGCAGGCTACCCCCGCCTCAAAAGTTAAATGGTCGGCCGCTAAGGGACGGACCATTAGAAAAGTTATGAGGGGGGGTGGGGAATTTTCGAGCCGCAGGAATTTTTTTTCGTTATCAAATTCCTTGTATGAATTTTTTTCAGGCCCTTGCATGAATATTTCTTAGGGTTAATTGGCGTGCAAGACACTGACGCGAGCAATTATGGTGTGGGTGCAGTGATCTCACACATCTGTCCGAAAGGCGAGGAACGACCGATACACTCTTTTTTTTTTATATAAGAATATATTTTATAAGAATATCGAGGCTGAAATTCGGCGAAATTTTAAGAATATTTTGAGAATAAAGCCGAGGCTGAGATTTTGAAAAGGATAGATATAATTTTGTGTGTTGAAACATCTGTAAATACAATACAATTTTATGTTTTTAACTTAACCGTATAAAATTATTCCTTTCTCTGAACGGCGAAACTAGCCAACAAAACGAAAAAACCTGCACTAGCTATAGCAAAATGTTCAACACTAATGACAGTACGATGAACGGTACATGTAATACATATGTACAGTATTCAGCACAAAAGACATAAACTAAACCGCAAAAAAGTATTATGACAAATTCTTTCCTTTTTAAATAACAAAACCTAGCGAAAACAAAAACAGCACTAGGCTTTATTTAAGAATAATACAAGAATATTTTCAGCCTAAAATCGGCAGAAAAATAAGAATATTCAGCCTGGGCTGGAAAAACAACATTCTTGTAAAAAAAAAAAAAAGAGTGTAGTGTCTACGTCTCCGTTTAAACAAGAACGAGACAAATTATCCTCAAATTGAGGAGGTTTTAAGCATTGTTTTTGGCATCCGCAAATTTTATCAACATTTGTATGGTCGCCGGAAATTCGTATTAGCCACTGACCTTATTTATTATGAGGTCCCAAAACAGGAATTCCGACACCAGCCGCAGCAGGGATGCAGAGGTGGGCACTACATGTATTCACGCCTCCGGTTATCAGTAGGATATAGAATATCGATCAACGGATAAGCACACAAACGCCGATTGTTTATCAAGATTACCATTGAGTGATCAAGTCCGAAGTAAGAATGACGAGATTCATGAGATCGACCGGGTACAGCTTGAATCTTTGGTCGAGCACGTTCGTAAAGCGACACGCGTCGATCTAATTTTGTCAAGAGTGTTGGAGTATACTTTGACAAGACTGATGGCCAACCGAGCAAGTAGATGAGTCAATATTCTAAAGCCGTATTTCAACAAATGTCACGAACTGACGGTCGAAGAGAATTGTCTTTTGTAGGGAATGCGCGTAATCATTCCTCCACCATTGCCAGAGCGAGAGAGAGCGGGATCTTTACGAATTTAACTCGAAGGTCACCCGGGCATCGTGCGCATGGAGGCGTTGGATTCATGTGTGGTGGCCTGACCAAAACATAGCGAGTACAGGTTGTAGTCCGGTTTTGCAATAAGCCCCCGCAGGCACCTTTGCAACCATGAGATTGGCCTAAAAGTCCTAAAACGCCTTGGCAAAGAGTACACGTAGACTTTGCAGGTCCGTTCATGAATACCATGAATAAGATGTTTATGGTTTTAGTGGATAGTCATTCAAAATGGCTTAAAGTAAAAATAATGCCAAACGTAACAAGTGAAACAACAATTGAAATATCTGCTAGCTTCGGAATACCGGAACGCTTGGTTAGCGATAACGGTCCCCAATTTTCATCGCGTGAGTTTGTAGAATTCTCGAAACGAAACGGAATTTTAAAAGCACATATTGGTGACACCGTACAACCCAAGATTACCTGCTGCTAGTCCCATTCAATCGCGTCACCCTGGGGCTTTCCACAAGTTGCTCGAAAATAATAAAGGATATAAAGCGTGCAACGAGTGAACGCTCGGTAATCGAACCCGATCGAACTCCAATCGTTCGATTGACTTCGATTGGGTTCGGTAATCGAACTTAATCGAACTCACCCCCAAATTTTGCCAATCGAACATAATCTAGCCTGCGAAAACATCCGTTTCCCCTCGCTCTTCGTCGCTGGGGACATTTTGCGCGGATGTTTGTTTTCGCAGGTATAATCGAACATAAAACCAGTTTTATCTGGTTTCAAACAAGGCGCCAAATAAGTTATGTATTGGCTTCAATTTAAAACACGAGTACGCAAAGATGTCCCAGAGGGAGCAGAGGAGCCAAACACCTATTTTCTGCCTACGGACAATATAAACCATGCTGACCTTTCATTTTGACGTTTATGTAGGAAAAGCATTTTGCTATTATATATTGGCCTTATTATTATTTCTTTTACATTTAAATTGGAACGCGTTTTGTCTTTCAGTGCCGAACAAAATCAAAATCGAACTAATCGCGTCGATTGAGTTCGGTAATCGAACTCCTTCGATTATTAAAAGAAAGTCGAACCCACCGAAAAGTTCCAGTTCGATAATGTTCGATTGCCGAACCAATCGAACAACAATCCGACCGACTGGGTTCGATTGAGTTCGATTGATTTTTGGTTCGCTTTTGTTCGATTGACTACGCTGTGCCTGCCACGCAGGCTAAGTAAGATCTAGCTGGCCACCCGGCTCAAAAAGAGAAAAGATGGGCATAGACCAATTCGGCTAACTCAATGTTGTACCCAATTAAAATTCTTTGGGAATAAAACGTTTTGTTTCAGGAATTTCCATATCATTTAAATGTGAATGCCACAATGCAAATACAATACATAAAGAATCTTAACCCCGGGAGATTTGAATTGGTTACAACATTGAGTAAGCCGGACGAGTGAGCGAAAGCTGGAACTCACGCAATCCTTTGGAAAGGTATTAAGGCGGGCCAAATTCTTTGTTTGTTTGTTTCTTTTTCTTAACTCTGTTGATAATATTGTCCGTTGGTTCAAGTCATAGTTCATTAATTAGTTCATTTTGTTATCAGTACATGTAGTTCGGTGCAATGACTTTTTGGGACGAATCCGTGTCCGTAGGGAGGCAATCAGACTGTCAGCTGACCGGGAGTCAGATAAACGAAATGATCTTTTACACTCGTCCTTTGAGCAACCAGTTTGACTCAAGTTTGCAGCCGGTATTTATAGAAATACCCCCAGTGGGACGTAAAAAGAAAGCGATCACGTTTAAAACTGTAAACAAGAACAGTCGTGAGGAGTTACGCCGGATAATTATTTCATCGATTTTCGACCACGCATTTCTCATGGCAATCCTTTCTCGTTTAATAAGAAGTGTTTGCAACTTTCACCCCACGATTAAGAGACAGCTAATAAGAAACTCGCCTCGGTTATTCTTTAAAACAAATTACGCTACTGCTGCTCTGTGGAAAACAAGTTCTTCGGCTGTTCAGAATGTTCACAAGAATGGCGACTCTCCGATGCTGCATGTAACCTGGAGTGACAGTACATCAAGTCGTTTTCCCTTCGTGTATCTACGAGACAACTGCCAATGCCCAGAATGCTTCCACGAATCCTCTCTCCAGCGGAACTACGATTCCATTGCTCATCTGAACATGGAAATCCAGCCAGAGCGCGTCGATGTTTTGCAGAAAGGAAAACAGATTTCTTTGACGTGGCCTGACAAACACATCAGTGTCTTTAACTCGCAGTGGCTGCACGCAAGACGCCTTTTGGAAGAAAAAGATATGAAAGAGCGCCCGTCGTCGCTCCGCAAAGAGGGAGTGATTTTCTGGAATGCTGAGCGGCTCAACGGAAGGATTCCGCGCCACGATTTTCAGGAAATCGTCGACGACGACCTTAAGTTATACGAATGGCTTTATTCTCTGCATGGCTTTGGAATAGCGCTTGTGACCAATGTCCCTGTTGAGCCGGGCCAGGTCGACAAATTAAGTTCAAGGATTGGATTCGTCAAACCAACTCATTATGGGTATGAAAATGATAAAGAAGTGAATATTATTACATTTAAGTTTATCTCTTACCGTAAAATTCCGAAAATAAGCCCCTCCATGTATAAGCCCCTCTATTTGATATAAGCCCCCCAAACCGGTAACGCAAAAAACCCTCCGTTAAATCGCCGCTCCAAATATAAGCCCCCCGGGGGCTTGTACTTGGAAAATTGCCCTCAAATACAAAGTAAAACAAATCAAAAACGGTAAATTTACTTCCAACTATAAGGCTAGCCCAATCGATTTTCAAACGCAAATTTCCCTCCATAGATAAGCCCCTCCGAATATAAGCCCCTCCAATAATAGGCCCCTCAAAAAGGGCCTTTGCAAAATATAAGCCCCGGGGCTTATTTTTAGAATTTTACGGTATGTGAACAAATCCTCATCTGTATGTGTGTGATCTAACAAAACCTTGCCCCACCACCGCCCCTAACCCCACACAACCACCACCACCACCCCCACCACTCATGCCTTTTGAACTAACTTTTCAGACTACCCTGATCTATTGTCAAAAACACTTGAATGTAGAATGAAGTCATAACAAACCGGTAAAATCAATAACATGTTCTGCTCCTCATTAACATTTAACTCTGAAAAGACTTGCCTTGTCCTTAAAACACATGTTAGTGCCGAGTGGGAGGTCAGAGGTTCATTCCCCTGGGCCAGACCAGCACTCAGGGTCTTAACATAACTGAGAAAAGAAGGAACTGTTTTTACCATGCAAACAGCTAGACCTTTGCGTAGCTCAGATAACCATCACAGGAAAAAATAAACGATTCCCATTTTTGGATATTTTAGGGTATTTAAAGAATACCCACAAAAATCCCAAATTTGGAAGAGTGAGACAAGTCTCAACCAGGGAACTTGGTTGGGAATTCCCTGGTTGGGACTTGTCTCACTTTGCCAAATTTGGGATTTTTATGGGTATTCTTTAAATACCCTAAAATATCCAAAAATGGGAATCCGTTATTTTTTCCTGTGCATGTAAAATGGTGGTCCAGTCTCCTTGAGGAGATGTAAAATACACAATGTAGTGTCCCCAGTTAGTACCCTTGTGCTAAACACAAAGACACTCAAGTGAAGTGTATTTTGAATATTTTTTGAGCACCAGTTTTACTGAGTCAATATTTGTGCTTTATAGTGAAGCCAGGTCAAGAGTACACCAGTAAATTCTATTAATGAATTTATTACATGAAACCCCTGAGCAATGTCATTTCTTTGCTCTCCATAAGTGAATGGATTCACTTGCCAGTAAGTTGAAATCTATGACAGCATGCATGTAGCTTTCTTTGTGAACTTAATACCGTATTTATTCGATTAACCGCCCTGGGCGCTCATTAAATTTTTGGACCTTGAGAGTGGGCGCTTATTCAAGGCTGGGCGCTTATTAAATTTTCACCATTCTCAGCAAGTGTAGTAGTATATTTTGCAACAAAACAGTAATAACAAAAAGAGAAGATGTAAGAAAGCAAGGTTTCTGTACAATACCCGGGTCTTCGGGAGGGTCTCTTACTGACCTCTTATTGGAGTTTTTCTAGGAGGGAGTGGGGTGGGGTGGGGTGGGGTGGGGTGGGCACTTATTCAAGGCTGGGCGCTTATTAACTTTTTCTGCCTTTAGGATGGGCGCTTATTCAAGGTGGGTGCTAATTTGAGGTTGGGCACTTATTCGAATATATAGGGTATAAACATTTCTAGCTATTAAAGTGTGAAAGATTTTTCAATCTGACTGAATGCAAAGAAGTTGTAGCCTAAAATTCCCTGCTTTAAATATGCATGCTGAAAAGCTGATCTGAAATTGACAGAACAATGTATTTACCACGACGGCTATAAAGGATTCCGCTTTTAAATGATCAGTTCATTAAGATAATCTGTGTGGTACAGTGTACTTATATGCTTGACCTTGGATGATTGTTATTAATACACTGTATGTGTCATCAGCTTGATGTTAAGTCGACTTTATGCAAATTAAATATGGGACTTAAGCTCTGATTAAGCTTTAACCAGTAAAACAAGTTTGGGGTGGAGGCCTGTTGCTGACTCAGCAATAATTATGACAGTTTAGTGCTAGTGGTCATTTTATTATTTTCATCTTAGATCATGTATACTGCATACACTGTATCCGGGCCAGTCTAGTACCGTATTTACCCGTGTATAATGCGCACTTTTTTTCCCTGAAATCGATCTTCAAATTTACGATGCGTATTATACACGGATTCCATTATTTGGTCAAGATGATGATGGAAGTTTTAATTGTTGGTGTTTATCTTGAAATCTCTTTTTTTACAATAAAGTGGTAAAAAATTAGGGTGCGTATTATACATGGGCGCGCATTATACACAGGTAAATACGGTACTTCATAAAGATTGAAATAAATAGATTAATAATAAATTATACAGCCATTGGTATTGATTTTTTTTAAATAGAATGTAAACAACAATGTTTGATCCATTATGATCATGGGTAGATTAAAGGACATCCACACACTCCCCTCCAACCTTAAATATTTTTGTACAATTTTAGTTTCAGTTTTAGCACTTTTAAAACATTCTCTTACAATTCATCGCTCAAAGCCTTTGCTTTGAACACACTTAACCTCAGCTCATTCCTCCAGCATTTCAAAAAAAAAAAAACTATTTCAATGACCCTGGTGAATGTTTTTCTTGAAGGGAGGGACAGTGTGGGAGGACAGGGCCAAGCCCTTATCAGGCCTTTCAGCTAAGTTAACTACAGTTTTGTTATTATTTTCACAGCCATGGATTTGTTGTTCATGCTAAATTTGAGGCCAACAACCTGGCTTACACATCACACAATCTCCCGCTCCATATTGACTTGCCTACATATGATTATCCTCCTGGGGTAAGTTATAATCTATTAGGCATTTGGGGGGCCTCTTAAAATCTTTAATAGGCTGCGAGCAAGCTCTCCAATTATGTAGGTGAGGGAAGTGAACCGCAAGAGAACAATATGTGCGAGAGCGGGGAAGCCGCATGTTCCCGTCCCTCACACACTTGTCTCCTTTCATGTGCAGCTCATGCGTGACTTCTCACGACTCCCCCAAATAGAGAGCTTGCTTGAAGGCTCTAGCCTCCCACACAGACATTCTTAGGGGTTCGTCACGCGTTCCTGGCCCACAAACTTCTGCTGAACCGAAAGGTAAATAATTCCTTTCTCATTGTTCGCAAATATCAGCTGGAGATCACATGCAGATTATCGAGAGATCCAATCGGCGCTGTTTAAGTCAAAGAGTTGACAAGCCAAACACATACGTACAAACTCTGTAGAGTGTGATACGTGACCAAAGATTTTTGCTCCGGACGAGAATCTGGGAGATGAGCGATAGTTTGTTGTATATTTCTCTCTGTAAAGGCTGGATTAGACGTTGTTTGCTCATAAAGTTGTTCTTTGGGTGATGCAACGGGGGAGTTACCTTGTAAGACTGAACAAAAGGCAGAATTTTTTTCACACGTTATTGTTTTGTAGTAAAGCCGACTTCCGTTCAGCAAATTTAACCTCCGAGGTAATTTTTTTCAATGAGATTGTGAGGGTAGCCACTAGTAAGAATGCTTGTGAGTTAACTGAGTAGTTTGTTCTAAAACTGTAAGGTCTTCACCTTTCATGAGACCTTTCTGATCTTTTCTGGGGCTATTAGTCAAGCACGAAATTTCTTAAGGTCCAAAGTGCACTTCTCAGATCTGGAAGTCTGCTGTGATTGGTCTGCATTTTTTTTCGCTCAATTCAGCAGATGTTCATAGGGCAGGAACATGTGACGAACCCCTAAGAACGTCTGCATGGGAGGCTAGCAGGCTTAAGCTTTAAGAACTGTTATTCTCTGTGAGCTGGGATATTTCCATTTTTAAGAGCTGAGTTGGGATCAACTTGCCCCTATATAATTGCCCGTCCTTGATGCTAATGTAGCGTCCCCTACCACCACCTCAATCCTCAATGCTACTGATTATGTACAGGAAGCTAATGCATAGATCTTTCTCACTGTGGTAATTGAGGTATCAATAAACAGACCTTCGCGGTTCACTCAGCTGGATAAGGGATGGTATACTGGGGGAAGAGGTTGCAGGCTTTTTAGGCTTCTTTGATAAGGAAGATAGACCGCCTGCCCCTTATCTCACAACCCTTGAACATAATCATAATATATTAACTATGGGATGTTAAAGAACCCACACACTGGTCTTAGAGAGTAAAGAGCATAGTCTCTGCATTAGGGTCTCAATTTCAAATTCACGTTACAGGACATTGATAACTTATTACTTCATTTATTGTTAACTGCACCACAAACAGTCTGGCAAGAGCCCCTGACACAGACCAAAGAGATAAAGTAACTGTCATAAATTATCCCTGAAAAAGGGCTGAGCTGGAAATGGATAATTGAATTTCCAATAAATTTAAAAAAAGAGAGATTCTTTGTCACAGAATATTGTTATAAGTAGCTTCTAATAATAGGTTTAGGACTGATTATACATGTATTATGTTTGTGCTGAACCTAGCAAATAATGCTGAAGAGCTATTAGTCTTTGTTTTCACCCATTAGCTTTAGATCAAGCAAGTGAAGTTCAAGGTTTAACTCAACTGGGCTACAGAATGTTGTAAATTTGGTTCTGAAAACCTTTTTCTGGAGAATGTATATGTAATTATCGTATTATGTTGAACTCGACTATAATCACTTTTCTTTATTTACACAGGCTCAACTTCTTCACTGCATTGAGCAAGCAACAGGTGAAGGAGGAGCAAATCAGTTTGTTGATGGATTTCACATCGCAGAGGTGTTAAAAGAAGAGGATCCAGAAACATTTGAGCTCATGGCAACCACAAGATTTCAGTTTGTTGACATTGGGACAGATGTATTCGGTGATTTTCACCAAAAATATACAAGACGTGTTATAGAGTAAGTGACGCAGCGCAGTGCAGTTGCTAGTTAGCGCTGTTTTCACATTAAATTGGTAAATTGAGTAAATACAGTCAATCCTTCCATTAGCAACCACCCAGAATGTGAAGATGTAGTTGCCACCAAAATTATTGACTGGCTGAGAAACAATCATACTGGGCATATCAGATCGTATAGGCCTGTTAATACTGGGACATCAGGAGGTGTGCCCCAATATCTATGCCTTACTTTGCATCCAAATTTCCTAATAAAATACAAAGGCAGTGTATAGTACAGTGGTTTAGCTTACACCAAGCAGAGGCCTCGTGGACTTCTTAAAGAGCCTCAATTTCACACTGGCTAAAAGTACCGAACCTCTGGTACAGCTGCCAGTGGCCACCATCTTGGGTACACTGTACTCAAAGAGGTTCTGTTTGCATTGATTTACAAACATTGTTATTCTTGTCAGCGAGGACTCTATTAACTGGCCACTTAATTTGTGGTTCTAGAAAACATCTACAGTGTCCACCTCCTCCCACCCCAAACACCCTTGTTGTATGAAATCATTAGAATTCCCCCAGGGGAGGGAAACTTACAGGCCAAAGGAATCATAGTACGAGCCTAAATTCTTATTTCCAGAGAAGAGGATTGTTCAAACTAAAGAGTTCTTCACGGAATGGAGAGGGCATATTTTCCACCACAACACGGAAAAGGGTTAAACCTCCATGGCTGTTTGTGAAACTTATGGTGCGAGGTGGGGGTAAGGGGGGGAGAAAGGGGGGGGTATTGGTAAGTTTCTCCCCCGCCCCCCTCCCCCCCACCTCACGCCATAAGTTTCACCAACAGCCATGGAGGTTTAACCCTTTTCCCGTTTTTAACTGATTTCTACTCATGGCCAGAATTTAATTTCACGCACGCGCGGTAGCAGTGAAAATTTTACAATGAAAATTTTACAAAGAAAGGTGGGATAAGTAAAATAATTTGTGATACAGCATGTCGTGCGATATACCTAAACACTAGGTTACGATTGAGGCTGAAAGGTTGACTTAGATCTTAGCTTTGACAAACTTAAACTCCTGCATTCAAATCTCGAGCTTCCCTGAATGGAAATAAAAATACGAAAAATTTACCTGCGTCTTCTATTGCAAATGGAGCACTGCCTCCTTGATTAACCTCTTTTCTTCAGCAATTAATGACAATTCCTCTGGGAAACTCTAAGAGGTTGCGATTAAATCTTCATGTACAAAGTCTTATCTTTCTATCGAGAGTTTTTTTGTCCACTGAAAAAGCATATTCTTCCTTCCCACGTTTAAAGAATTTGGAGTTAATTCTATTTTTAAATACCCTTCTACTACACGGCTTAAATCCAAGATCTTCGCTCTACAATATCTCGGCCAAAAATCATCTAAATTGTCTCCAAAACCTCTTCAGTGTTCGAAAGCTTATTTCTTTGAGTTTTCGTCGCCATTTTTGGTTGTGGCAATATTTTTGATCAGCGGCCTTTATTTGACCATAAACCACTATGTATTTGACCACTCGAACTTTCCGAACATTATGAGCCCGAGAATCACAGTAAAAACCAGCGGTTAAAAGCATTGCGAAACAGTCTGAATGTAAGTGGCGCGAAATTTGAGGAGCGAGATTTTTGGACATGTTTTTAATCTGTGGTTAAAGGTGGTGTATGACATTTGCAGACTGCAGACCGCAGACTGCAGACTGCAGACTGCAGATTGGAGATTGTAAATTAAATGACACCAACAATCTTCCTAATAAAGGTGACGTCTTCAAAAATATAAAATCGTGTGAAAGTGAGAAAGTAGCCTTGGGAACAAGGTTGATATTTTTGTACAAAGTTACATTGGCCACATTCCCAGAATGCTGTTGGCTATTCTTCACCGATCCTTTATCAACTCACCCGGCATATCACTAATAGGCCATTTTACAGTTATGGATGGAAGCGAGGGTGAGGGTGACCTTGTTTTGATACAAACCTTCTTTGCTTTGTTATGGAAATTGTTCTTGAAAAATACTAGTAAGCATAAGAATAAATTGATTTACATGATAAAGCAGGAAGGTTTGTATCAAAGCAAGGTCACCCTCAGCCTCGCTTCCATCCATAACTGTAAAATGGCCTATTGCGTTGATTCTTTATTCTTATTTGATTATCGTCAATTGATAATGACAAGTAGCAATGCCCACTAATGCCTGTCTAAATAGTAGTCTTCTGTAAAAAAAAGGTTTTTAGATTGCGAGCCGCTTCGTAGGATAGATCAAGGACATTTAACACCTTTTAAATGACGTATTTCATCTTAGCAGTATTTAGGGATATGCCAAATAATTGAAGACGAACGGATCCTATCTGGACTCGACGAATTACCAGAAGTGCATTTTGAATTTCTGAATAGGCAAATCATTGCTCATACTCAAGTCCTAGTACACTGGTGGGGCCCCCGTAGAATAGGGATTCCGGCGCTGTTTCACAGACAGACTTATAGTTTAGTTTCGTCTGTGGTGCAGGCTAAATTGCTAGACTGTTGCTATGGATTCATGAGCAAGTTTGTGACATCGGCAGACATTATTCTGCTCTGATTCAATACGAAAAGAACAGCCAACAGCTCCTTTAGGAATGACGTGGGTGTAATTTGCGTGAAAAATGTAAACTTCGCTTCTAGGCCTTACTTTTCGGAACAAGGTAATGTTGATGATGACCACCTTTATTACGATATTTTTGGTTTCATTCAATTTACAGTCTTGTTGCCTCATGCAGTCTGCAGTCTGCAGTCTGCGGTCTGCAGTCTGCAGTCTGCAAATGTCATATACCGGGTTAAAGGACAGGTTAAGGTATTCTTATGTTTGTTTTAGTTTCAGTTGCAACGAAAGAAAAGTATCCTTTGATGATATATGATATTTCAAGAATATACTACATTGCTCAATATTTCATCTGTAATTTTGTTGCTTTACTATTCTTACAGATTGGATGAGAATGAACAGATCGTCCGTTTTATTTTCAACAATCATGTCCGCGATTCTGTTATGGCATTCTCGCCGGAGAAAGCTGTCCAATTATATGAAGCCTGGCTCAAGGTCGGCAGAATGCTGAGACACCCAGCCAATCAAATTGATTATAAGCTGTCACCCGGCGAAATGATATCGTTCAATAACACTCGTGTGTTGCATGGACGATCGGCTTTCAGGGTCACTGAAAAATCCTCGCGCTTTCTGCAAGGGGTGTACCTTGACTGGGATCTCATTTATTCACGAATGAGGGTTTTGGCCAAACATTTTAACATTCCATTTGGAATCTGAGAATAATATACAACTATTCCCCGAAGGGGAGGTGAATAGTGCTGCTTTTATACTGAGGCGCGAAGCGTCGAGGTATATATCTAGCGCTATGAACCGACCCTGAGGGGATAGTTGTTGTAGTATTTATCAAATCAGTTGGATAAAAATCAAAAAGGAACTTTTTGTAAATAAAAGACGTCACTTTGTTAGAGTTTGTTTTGGGGAGTTTGTTTCGACAGTGTTTCGGGGATCATTTTTTCGTACGATTTTTTTGCAAATTCAGCGAGAAAATTTTTTTCTACCGAGCAGTAAACAGCGACAAGCCAAATTTTGTCTCTTTCTTGGTATTTTTTGGCGCAGCTGCTTCAGTTACCGCTAAAATTTCATCTTTCGAAACTGTCGCGAAACGAGAAGCCATTTTGAATCTCGTCCCAAAAGTGTGAATATCCAAGGATATTCCGAGTTACTGGGGCCAATAAGAACGCGCGAAAATTGCTATCCACTGATTTAGTGAATACTAATAAACCCTAGATTATGGTATTTCACTTTGTCAAACTCTGAAAATCAGATGGTAGCATTTTAGTTAAAGGATAAATACCATTCCACTGAAACGGCTCTTCTGTCTGTCACTGATGACCTATTAAAAGCTATGGATGGAAAGAGAATCTCAGTATTGGTGTTGATGGACATGTCAAAAGCCTTTGACAGTATAAACCATGACTTGTTAGTTAAACTTCGAAGCCTTGGTGTGTCTCCAGCGCTGTAATGGTTCAAAAGTTACCTAAAAGAAAGGTACCAGTGCGTTCGTATTGGGAATGTGGTTTCGCTGTCTCTCTCAGTTGATTATGGAGTTTCATAGGGGTCCATTCTTGGCCCCAGTCTGTTTTCTGTTAAAATAAATGATTGAGTAACATGTACCTAAACTTTGTCGAACTGCTCGTTACGTTGATGATTCTAAACTTTACTTGAAATTTAAAAGTAATGAGCTATGTAACGTAGTCTCCGCAGTTAACTCTGATCTAAACGAAATCTGAAGGTGGTGCGTCACAAGTCACTGCTTATGAATCCAGATAACACTAAACTTTTCGTGATAGGCGTGCCGCAATTGCTACAACAGTTACCTGACTTTACAATAACACTTTGGGGCAAACCAATATCATCAACGCCTGTAGCAAAGGATCTTGGAGTGTTTTTAGATCAGTGCCTCTCCTATGATGAACACACACGTAAAACTGTTGCTAGTTGTATGAATAAACTGATCCAGATCAATAGAATTAAGCATTTACTTTGGTAGGGAAACACTTTTATTAATCGTTAGTAGCTTTGTTTTTAGCAGGCTGTTTTATTGCTCGTCAGTTCGAAGCAATACCTTGGCGACTAACACGCATAAGATTCAGCTTGTTTAAAATTTTGCAGCCGTGATTATCTTGGGACTCCGCAAATATGACCGTATCTCTGCAGGTCTAAGATCGCTTCAATGGCTAAATATCAAACAAAGACTTAAGGTCAATGACGTAGTTATGATGCATAAATGTCTCAGAGGTCTGTCAGATAAATTTTGAACTCGAGCTATTGTCCATGATAGACGGACAAGATGTACAGATAGCCTCGATATTCCATCTTGTAGAATCAATACTGGTCAACGCGCTTTTTCATTACCGTGGTGTGAAAATATGGAATAATTTAAGTAAAGACTCAAGAGATATCATAGATACTAATGTTTTTAAGAGACGTCTAATTAATGAACGGTGTGTAACATGAACTAGGTTAGATGTTGAATTTTGTACAAAGTTACTATTTAGTTATTGTTGTACATAGTTTTTTTTAATTAAATAAGTAATTAATTCATTCTTCCATTTTAATTATTTTATTTTTATATTGATGCTGAAAAGCCCTTTTTAGGGATGCTCAATAAAGTGTATGTATGTATGTATGTAGGATGGTCCTCAGTGGGGTTCTTCAATCCCGTAATCCCGACCCTAATGTTCGCCCAATTCCGTAATCCCGAGGGTTATTTTGAACATCCCGCAAACCACGCGTACTTTAAATCTCAAGTCCTGCCCCCATTTTGCTTTGAAATCCCGAATCCCGGCCTTCAAATAAGGCAACTCCCGGATCCCGAATAAGATGTTGAGGACGCTCTTTGACCCCTTCACTGCCAAACGTGGCCAAAGGCAAAATTCGACAAAAAAAATCCCAAATTTCATTTTGTAAAATTTTGAAAAACAAGTAGCACCATGTGAAAGTACAGGTAGAAAGGAATCATTTGAATGGTCACTCCACAGGATTTCTTCCACAGACTCAAAAGTTTGAGCTATCAGCTAGGGAAAGGGTTAAGTAGTGTACAGAAAAGGTTTCGTTTGAATCGTCCTAGCGTTTATAACTTTGTATAATTGTGAGTTTAACTTTTGAGTCGGTGGATAAAATCCTACAGTATGATCATTCAATACTGTACAAGGTGGTTCTGCGAACCAATTCTTTAAGTGTGTCCATTCAAATTACAGCTCCGGAGCTGTAATTGCACCGACAAGGTCGTTCTAACATTTCAGTCTGCGGAGTTTTTGAGTACCAAAACGTGATACTGCGGAATCGAACTAGGTACTGGTGATCCAAAATTTAGTTTGACTTTACAGGATTTGAAGAATTTAAAGCCAGGTAGACCAGGGGTACTCTCCAGTAACAGCAATTAAAATGCACATGATATGCATGCTTCTACTGGAAATTTGCCATTCACTATTTGTTTTGTTGGCTTCGTGGTCCTCACGCGAGTTATTTCTTATTTATTCAAGAGACTGCAAATGTGTGGTAAAATCAAAGCTCTGTTTCTAAGGGCTCGTTTACATTGAGGTAGGGGACCCCAGGTAGGTTAGTTAACTAAGTACTTAGCCTCCCCGCAGACGTCCTTTGGGGTTCGTTTGTCACGCATTCATTTCTCCGTGGGGGAGAAATGAATGCGTGACAAACGAACCCCAAAGGACGTCTGCGGGGAGGCTACTAAGTACTAGGAAGTAAGGCCTTTCCAGTTGACCACTAAGATGACACCAAACTTTCCGGTTCAAGCAAACAAAATGCATGGTACGCCTGCTTGAACTAGAAATTCCCTTTTCTAAACGATACTTCACTAACTTTCTCTAATCCAACTGGCTTGGAATGTTAGTGACATTACAGCAACTATAAATTTGTTCTCTTTGTTTTACTAAACGCGAAATTTTCTTCTACCGATGACAATGCAAGTTTGCAATTGAAGAGGAGAGACTAGTTAGTTATACGTGGTAAAAGAAACCCACGGTTCTTAGTATGGAAAGCCGTTCTTAGACTGATTTTAACATATTTCTTTCTGAGCCCCCAACAAACCCTTGAGAATCATCGGGTCTTTTTTTAAAAACTATTTTTCCCAAACTACTGAAAACTCGTGGTAGTTTATAATTACATTGTATATATTTTCAGAGACGTTCGAGTTTTGGCTTTGAAATTCTCGTATCATTTTACCCTGCAAAAATCTCCCGCAATTCAAAATGCAATTTCCTTTGTTTAGAGGTTTCTTATAACTGCGATGAAGCGAGGGAATTGTAACCGCGGACAGTGACACCAACGGAAGGTGATAATGTCCCGATCGAAGATAGCTTAACTTCGATTCCTTCTGGTTCTCGGGTGCAATATAGGTAGCCTGTTAAGGATAGGCAAGTTTGACCAATCTTTCGGTTCGACAAGCCGGAGTGAAAACAAACATTAGCGACGGTGAAAGTAATTTGTATTTTTATCCCACACCTCTGTCAAAATATGCAAAATTTCTGGTCATTTCGGTCACGTCAAATGAAGGAATATGTGGCTCTTTACTGAAATTGCACTATTCTCGACCTAATTTTCATAACTCGAACACCTCTTAAGAGTTTTACTGACCGTTCTAAAACTTACATAATATTAGACTCACACTTTTCCAAGAATATATCCCCAGCGTCTTCGTCCTTTTCCTACAATAACAACGTCAGCGGCAAGAGTATCCATCTCGATGGTAGGGTGTCCCGTGTTAAATTCTTAAACGACAAGGCAATTTACAATTAAGCGTCGAACAGTTGTCGTAGTATTCTGGATGCACCTTGTTCAGACTATCCCATAATAAACGAGAAGGACCGGCCGCATTTACAAAGCTTACAATGCCTGGAAAATGGGTTTTTATATAAACGGTTCTCTCTTTACAAACCTTTATATAGAGAGAAAGCCGTTTACATAAAATCCATAAAACGGCCATAAATCGGTCCGAGGACCACGCAGGAGAGACGTAACACACATTTTAAGTAAGGTAAGCTGTTTTTTATTGAAATCCTTTCATTTTCGTAGGTTACAGAAACGATAGGTTTTTTCCCCATACAAATCCTTATATTTTTGGAATATTACTCAACAATGCCGATGCTCGCCGATGCTCATATTTCGAGCTTGGGCTACCTGTGTTGAAATTGAATACGAATAATACTTTTACGAATACTTTTAACAGTTTTAATTTTCAATTGTACATTTTCACAACCTATTTTAGCTACAACTAAAAACTGAAATATCAGTTACAAACATTTTTAACAGTTTTAATTTTTAATTGTACATTTGCTTTCAGTACTCCTTGTTTTTCTTGTAATTGTTGTTTGCATGACCCCACCAGCAATGCTGATCTTTTTATCGTGCTAAAATAAAGTTCTTACCTTACCTTACCTAGAAGATCGATCAGAGCAGCAAGCAGCTACTGTATGGATCTTATTTCAGATTTTTGTTCCGGTTAACAGGAAAATCCAAACAATCTGGATTGTCTAAATCCGAAAAAAGTTTGGCTAAAAGGAATACAATAAAAAAGACGGGTATCGGCTCATAAGCTCGATCGAGGGCGGTGCATCGCAAAATGTAGGGGAGGAGCTGGCGGTGTGTTTCCATAGCACCAGTGGTACTTTGATCTATTCTTGCTATTTAAAGCTTACAAAAACGCCGGCATTCAGTCATCCGTTGTTAAGACAACGGGGGCGACCCCCGCCCAAGCT